AGCGCCAGAGAATTCTAGATAATAAAAACATTCATTGTCCAGCAGACACTGACCCAAAGCAGCTTTCCAAAAAGGACAGAGTCACAGCGGAGATTCATTAATCCCAGGTCATGAAAACGACATCGGTGTGTTTCCAGATGGGTGGAAATTTCCAAAAAAGTTCAGACGCTGTGCAGAATGTAAATAACAATAGGATGCAATGATGTGCAAATCATGTAAACCACATTTTTAAAGGAAAATACTACAAAGACAACATATCAAATGTTGAAACTGAGAACTTTTATTGTTTTTTGAAAAATATTTGCTCATTTTGAATTTGATGCCACCAACACGTTCCAAAAAAGTTGGGACGGGGGCCTGTTTACCACTGTGTTTCATCACCTCTTCTTTATCAACACTCTGTAAGTGTTTGTGAACTGAGGAGACTCTGCTGTAGTTTAGAAAGTGAAATGTTTTCTGTTCTTGTTTGATACAGGATTTCAGCTGCTCATCAGTTCAGGGGCTCATTTGTCGTATTTTTCATATAATAATGTGCCAAATGTTATCAGTGGTGACAGATCTGGACTGCAGGCAGGTCAGTTTAGCACCTGGACTCTTTTATTACGGAGCAATGCTGCTGTAATACATGCAGAATGTGGTTTTACATCATCTTGCTGAAATAATCAAGGCCTCCCTGAAAAAGACGTCGTCTGGATGGCAGCATATGTTGCCAAAACATGTATATATCATTCAGCATTAATGGTGCCTTCACAGATGTGTGTGTCACCCGTGCCATGTGCACTAATGCCCCCCTATACCATCATGAATACTGGCTTTTGAGCTGTGCACTGATAACAAGCTGAGTGGTCTTTAGCCCGGAGGACACAGTGACCATGATTTCCAAAAAGAATTTCAAATGTTGATTCGTTGGACCACAGAGCACTTTTCCACTTCCCCTCAGTCCATTTTAAATGAGCTCAGGCCCAGAGAAGGTGGCAGAATTTCTGGATCCTGTTTATATCTGGTTTCATCTTTGCGTTTGAGAGTTTTAATTAGCATTTGTGGATGCAGTGATGAACTGTTTTCACAGACAGTGGTTTTTCAGAAGTGTTTCTGAGCCCACTGATAGGCGTATTTACCATTTCAGTATAAGTACTTGTAGCAGTGGTGCAGTATTTGTATTTAGACTACTGATGGATGTATGTGTTAGATTCTAGAGCAGAACTGTGTGATTTGAGTGCAGATCTGGTGCTGTAGTCCTCCTGCGCTGCACAGGTTAGGGTTCTCCTGCTACAACACCCCTGACTGAGCCCTCAGGTGCAGGAGAACAGGACTGTGTGCAGGTGAACTGGAGGTTCCTGCTGTGATTAGGCTGTGAGATTCACTCAGACTCCCTCACCGAGTTCCTCACTTCTGTTAACTTTCTGACAACTACCTGTGTGGAGTTTCACACCTGGAGAACAAAGGCGTGAGGGGTGTGAAGCTCCCGCAGGAGGGGGGGGGGGGTTAACACCTTTAACTAAAGACCATTCTAACTTTATGACACTCTGGGCTGAGGAAGGTACCGTTCTAATCCCAGCAGCCCGTGAGAAAGGAAGGGCTGTTCAGACGCCTCAGTGAGTTCCTGTGAGATCACAACAAAACCTCTGAGTGTTAATGTTCTAACATCCCCTCAGGAGCTCCTCACTGCAGCACACGAGACTCCGCTAGCAGGCTAAGCTAATAAGCCCCACAGTGCAATGTTAAAACAGCTAACAGGCTAAAGCTAATAAGCCCCACAGTGCAATGTTAAAACAGCTAACAGGCTAAAGCTAATAAACCCCACAGTGCAATGTTAAAACAGCTAACAGGCTAAAGCTAATAAGCCCCACAGTGCAATGTTAAAACAGCTAACAGGCTAAAGCTAATGAACACAAACATCAGCTGGCTAAAGCTAACTAACAAACTCTGCAGTGTAATTAATTGAACGTTAGCAGGCTAATGTGCTAATAAGTGTTTTTTAAGCTTAAATATATTAATTTGAAGTTCATCATTAATATAGTGTGATTGTTTATCATAGGTGAAAAGGTTTTGTTTATATATATATATATATATATATATATATATATATTTCAGTGATAGTACCTTTTTATATGTGTATATCAGTCACTGAAGTTGTTGAATATACGTAAAGCTGTATATACATCAAACGTTTCTATGCTTAAACACAAATTTTAGTAACTGAAACCTTTTTTTCATAAAAATCGGAAAATCTAATAATGAATCTGTTCTTGTTTGCGTTTTTCCTCATCACGTCAGTTTATTTTCATCCCACGTTTATATTTTGAGCTTTAGTACAGTGAGTGAAGCGTAACGTCCACCCGTCACACTGAACACGCAGTAAAAACAGTGACTTTCATTAGAATTGTTCTGTAATATTCACTGAAAAGTGTGTTCAACATTCATCTTCTTTGTATTTCTTCTTTGTTTCTGGCAGCGGTTCATCAAAATTTAGTGTCTCAAAATAACAAATTTCTCAGATTTTAATTTATATTTCAAGCATGATCACTTAAAATAATAATTTTGACTTATTTTGTCTCACCTCACAATAATAACTTGTTTTCTTAATGTATTATCTTAAAATAATTACTTATAATCTTAAACTTTAGAACTTTTTTGCCATTTTTTCTCCTCCAGCTGGTGAGAACGGGCTTCCACTGAAATAAAGACATTAAAACGTCTAAACACCAGCTTTACAGCGACCAGTTCAACGTTCAGTATTACACACTTTTACAGGTCAATATGATATTGAGCACAAATATGCTTTAATCATCTAATGTGCTTACTGATGAGGGAAAGTCTGTTTTGATCGTGAGAGCGACCTGAAATTGAAATTGGGGAGAATAATCTGTGATTTATTGTCATGAAAGAATTTCAGATTAGCACTTTTCAAATTTTCACCTGTGTAATTTAACATAAAGAGGGGAAAATCCAGCAATTTTCCAAAATTTGTGCATAATTAAGTGGTTAAGATGTAAACAGAGTGGTTCAGAGCGGTTCAGAGCGGTTTGGTGTGAAACGCTCTGTTCTAGATAACCTTACCGAGTCAGAACTGTTCACAGTGGTGCTGATAGGAACCAGACGTCCACCTCTAAAAGCTCCTCACAGAAAGTTCCTACATGAAATGGTTATGAATTCACTGCCTGATGACTGAGACACTGTTTTATGATAGTTTAGAGAACTTAAACTCCATTCATGGTGGAGGGATACATGCAGGGCGCTGTGAGGCAAAATAGTCCCCAAAGAAAACTTATTATTTCAGATTTTCCACTATTTTCCATCATCAACATTCATATAAACTCAGAAGACTCGTGTAGGTTCACTGGTGGTTCTGGAGAGTAAATAAAATGTCTATATCTGTGTTGTAGTCATGGCGACCCCTGGTTCCTATCACCACCACTGTAAAGACATCTGAACCATTTCACACCAAACCTCTCTGAGTCACTCTGATTACACCTCAATCACTGAATATGGGTGAATTTCTGTAAAGACGGGTGGAATTCCCCTTTGACCGCCCCTTAGCAGGCTGAGGCTAAAGCTGATCTGCATGGAGGGAGCCGAGCTGATCTACAAAGACCGGTTTAGGACGGAGAAGCGACCGAACACTTGGAGCTCGTTAATTCCTAATCCTAATCCCAACGGAGAACTCCAGAGGAACAAAGAGCAGATTAGAGAGAGAGAGAAAGAGACAGATACAGAGAGAGAGAGAGAGGAGAGAGAGAGAGAGAGAGAGAGAGAGAGAGAGCTTATGTTAATGATGAAAGGGAGCAGTGTGTATGACAGTAAGCAGATCTGGGGTTTCTTTTTTGGCCCACCCTGAGGGGGGTAAAACCGCTGAGGAGCTCGCGCGACGTGATCGATGAGGCTCACTGATTAATCGATAACTAAAACTAAACATCAGCGACGCGGTGATAAGGTCAAACCTCTTTGGAGAGAGAGAGAGAGAGAGAGAGAGAGACACACACAGAGACTGTGAGGAATCCTCTGTCCCTCTGTCTGTTTCGGTCTGTACGGGTTGATTTTGCAGGTACTGGCAACCCTCTACTCAGTTCAAAAAGGCCCTAAAGTTCTGTACAGAACCGCAGTGGAACGTCTTGAAACATCCAGCAACTTTCAGCACAGAAACTACGAGGCTGAAACTGGAACTCTCCGTTCCACCTTAAATGGCGCAGCTGCTCATTTCTGGCTCCTGAGCCTGAAACGGGAATTGCACCATTTTAAGGTGGGACGGAGAGTTCCAGTTTCAGCCTCGTAGTTTCTGTGCTGAAAGATGCTGGATGTTCTTAGAGGTTCCACTGAGGCGCCACGACGCAACAGCTGCGCCGTTTAAGGTGGAACGGAAAGTTGAAGGAGAAACTGGAGAAACTTTAGACTTTATTCTTCTCTTTTTTGATGAGTTTAGTCCAAAACAGCAACAGACGGACATTAACCCCCCACCCCCCCCAAGAATTAGGACCTATTAGGACTAAAGACGGACTGAGTGCAAATACAGTAGCTTTCTCACTGTCACTCATAAGTTCCGGTAAGTTTGGACACAAATCCACCGTAAACCTGTTCACTGAGAGCCATATTCATATGAAACGTCATCATTTTCATTATAAGGCTATTTAAACTCTGAACTCGCTCTAATATTCATCCAGCCGAACGTTTACAGGATGAAATATGAGTAAAATGTTATTTTCACACAGCTGGAAGATGCAAACAGCTGTAAACCGGGTTGCCACTACCATTAATATTCACCCAAAGGTCCCTTTATGTCCCTTTTATTAAAATATTCGCGTCTGTTTTGAAACTTTTTCCTCTTTAATCCGGTTTCGACGTCAAAGACGCTCAAACCAGCCAATGAGGAGTGAAGAGAGAGGGGACGTGGGCGGAGCCAGCGAGGCGGGGTCTAGAACACAAAGGGCGGGGCGTGTATGCAAACGGGCGTGGCCTGTGTGCGGTGTGGGATCCTCTCGAGCGTCGACCCCTGTGTGTCTCGCGCTCGGCTCTGTAGTGGACGCGCGCGAGGAGCGAAGAAGGAGAGAAAGGAAGAGCTGGAGCTGCGCGAGGACACCTCTGCGTACGGGCTTTGTTTGTTTGGACGCGCGCGCGAGAGTTTCACCTGTGTTTTTGGTACTTTTTTAAGGGCGCGAGCGCTGGAAGTTGGAAGTTGGAGAAAGAGTGTGTGAGTGTGTGTGTGTGCTGGTGATCGCGTGCAGAGGGGCGCCTGGCTCGTGAGCCCCGGATTGGCTTGCCTCGCCGGTGCAGCGCGAGGACACGGAGAAAAAAACCCCCAGAAAATACAACAAACAAACAAACAAAGGCGCACGCGGAGTTTACGGTTTCCTGTGAATGGAGCGCGAGCTTGACCGATGAGGACGGCGGGGCGCGAGGAGCTCCGGCCCAGCTGACAGCGCGCGGACGACACTGGGACCATATAAACAAACCAACAAACAAACAAACAAGCAAATAAACAGACTGATCGGTGTTGGAGATGGAGCCGTGGAGCGTGTTTACTCTGCTCTGCTGCTTCTCACTGACCAGGCTGACCACTGCGGAGGAGGGTGAGTCTCACTGATCATTACTGATCATTATTGATCATTATTGATTACCAGATCATTACCGGATATTGACTGTGTGTCTGTGACTGTTAAAGCCTTCAGACGGCTCAGATTGAAAGATGGTAAAAACTTCAGCTCTGTAGAAAAGAGGAAAAGTTTTACTGCCACCAATAATAATAATAATAATAATAATAATAATAACAATAATAATAATAACAATAATGATAATAGTAATAATAATGATAATAATAGTAATAATAGAAGCAGTAATAATAAAGATAATAGTCAGAAATAGTGGCCGATAGGACAGAATAAGAATCAAACAATGACTCTAATAATAATTAAAATAATAGCAATAGCAATAATATTAATAATAATAATTAGCTGATTAAACTCCTGAGTTATAGAGCCTCAGTGGAGCTTCTCGGTCCATCCAGCCTGAAACGCCTCTAATTCAGACTCTCGGTTCCACCTTAAATACTCCAGCGTAACAGCTGCACCGTTTAAGGTGGAATGGAAAATTGGGACGAGGAGGCCGACGGGAGCTGAAGGTTCCTCTCCTTTTAAACTAAAGAGGTGAGAACAGAAATGCAGCAAGTGATATCAAATAGAATTACACTGAATATTAATTCACAAACTCATTAATCATCAATATCATTAATATTATTAATATTCCTGAGCAGAAGAAAAAAAAGTGTTGTTCAGAAATACTCAGGAAAGTTTTATTAAATGTGCCGTTTACACATCTGTTTATTACACACTAAACAAAAGTAGGTAAGGCAGTGGTTCTATTTAGAACCGTGAGTTCTATGTAGAACCTTTTTAAAAATGGTTCTGTATAGCACCGAAAAGCGTTCTGCTTTAGCTTGACATCGTCACAATGGCACATTGCTTTTTGGTGCTATATAGAACCGTATAATCAATCTGAAGAACCATTTCACCATGCAGAGAACCGTTTAAGCATGAAATAGTTCTAGACAGAACTAATATATAGAACCGTTCCCTGCACTACAGAACGTTTGAAGAGTATTTTAAAGTGTAAAAGCTGATTTTTTCAGATATTTAAGTGTTTTGCTGTGTGGGGTTCCTTCAGTCTCTATCGTTCTGTAGGACGTCTTTGTGGAGGTTCTGTGCTGTGTAGGAGCCCAAAAGTGGTTCTTCTGTGGAACCAGTTTTAGCAGCTGTATTTCAGAGTGTAGTTCTCCTAAAAAGGGAGCAGCGCTGCATCTACAGATCAGAGTCGGGCAGTTATTTACTAAAGTTCTGTAAAAGTTTAATATGAAGAACGTTTCTCGGTTCTTCAAGCAGCCGTTTTTGTAACCGAGGCGTCTCGTATCTCCACACGGTGTAAAAGCAGCAGTCAGAGGATTTTCCTAGAGCCGGTCGTCCAGGCCAGCGTTCCTCGGCCCTCGGCCTGGGAGCGTCTCTCAGGGCCGTGTGCTCTGACGCTCAGTTGATCTCACCCCTATAAAAGCAGCTTCTGTAGAGATTCACAGGTTAAATGATTCGACTGTGAAACTGATTCATTATGAGTTTGAATCAGTTTGTGTGAGGCTGTGAAAGTGAAGGTGTTTTGATGATGAACTGAGCCGTGAGTGATTTAATGATGACTGATAAATCTGACCAGCATTGAGACTGAACTGGTAAAGAAACTGACCCCCATAATGACTCATATTCATAAAGAAAATGACCAAATCTCAATAATTAAACAGAAACTGCAGCTCATTATTTAATAATACTTCTGTACTTTTTACCATGTTCGAACTTTATGTACTGTAAACTGTGAATGAAGTATTAGTTTAAGTTTGCTGTATAAATTCAGTTATTATTATGTGAAGTGACCCCAAACTTTCAAGCGAAAATTCTTAAAAAAACATAAAAGTGGCTCATCAGATCAACCTGAAAAATACTTTTATTCAGCTGAAAAATGACCCTGGTTGAAAGTCGTTCATTCACAGTGTTTATTTAGGCTGAATAAAACTAGTTAATTTACTTTTTACCACATGAAGTAATTTTTTAGGTTCTGGGGAGACATTTTTAAGGTGTACGTCGACCCAAGAACTCTCACAGAACCAACTGCATGCTTAAATGGTTCTTTGCATGGTGAAATGGTTCTATAAAGCACAAAAAGGGTTCTGTTATTATTATAGAGTGAAAATGGAAGTTTGAAACTTTTTATACTTAAAAAAAAAAAGTAATCAGGTTAAATTTAATTTTTGAGTTCAGAGAATTTGTAAAATGAAGTTAAGAAAAGAATCATTTGTGTTTGCAGTGTTTGCAGTTGTGTTTGCAGTTGTGTTTGCAGTGTTTGCAGTTGTGTTTGCAGTTGTTATAATTTTAAATATACTCAACATTTCTAGTCAACCTGGTTACTTTTTAAGTTCAACAGCTGCTTTTTTCACCATGTACACTGTAAAAATGGCTTGTTTAATCAAATTAAATAGACACTTTGAATCAGTGATTCTTTTAATCAGTTGAATTTTTTGACTTGAATAAAATCGGTTCAGTTTGTTTGCTGCATGCAGTAATTTCGTTAGGTTGATCTGATGAGCCACTTTTTTACAGTATACAAGCTCGACATTGTAACAGTAGTGGAACCTTTTTGGTGCTATATAGAACCCTTTTTAAAAAAGGTTCTATATAGAACCATATACAGCACATTCTCCAACAATCTGAAGAACCACTTCACCATGCAGAGAACCCTTTAATAACACACACACTGTAAAACGGCTCATCAGTTCAGTCTACAAATGACTCCTTGTGGTAAAAAGTAAATGACCTGGTTTTATTATATATTATATTATATTCAATTGCTTGTTAGCGCATTTCAGGTTGATCTGACGAGCCATTTTTACAGTGCATGTTTCTTTAAGCATTCCTGGTTCTAGATAGACCCACTGTGTTTACTAGAGAACCCTTGAAGAACCGTCTTTTGAAGAGAGCAGTGTAAAATGGCGTTGGTGAGCCATGAGGTGGTGAGCAGGCCCAGCAGGCCCTGACGGACCTGGCCGGCGCTCACAGCCCGTACTAATCTAAAATCAGGGATATTAACCTCAGTAATATCAGAACCTCGTCTGTATCAGCAGGTTATCGATCCCTGGCCAGAGATTTTAATCCAGTATCTCCTCTCGTGTTTATCTGGACTAAAATATCTGCATTACATAAAGAGAAGCTACTGCAGGCAGATTAACTCACCGTTTGTGTGTGTTATTAATATTTATGTATCAGATTTATACATAAATCTGTCAGATATCAGCTTCAGCCTCAGTTCCCAGATCAATACAGCGCGATTATGGACTGTTTGACATTGCAGATGAACAGATGGACAGATAAACTAGTCCAGGCACGTTTTACACACAGAAGCAGGTCAGTTTGCTCTACATGAACAAAAGAAAAAGGATCGTCAAAGAAGAACAAGTGAAAAACAGAAGAACTAAAGAGCTGAAAAGGTTCAAAGAGCAGCAGCCTAAAGAAATAAAGCACTTCTCGTTGTTTTGTCGTCGACTCTCTCATGACCGAATTACAGCTCAGGCACTAAAATGTCCACATAAAACATATAGATGGATGAAGTTCCACAGAGCTCCAGGGTTGAGTTGCCAGTGAACGCGGTACTGGACTCATACGGTCACTTTAACTCATTTTTAAAACGCTTCAGTGCTGAATGAGCTCAGCAGCACGAAACATCTGCTGTTAATGAACTCATCACTGTCGCGGACACAGATGCAGATTTAATCAGTGATATGGTTATTATAGAATATGGAGGAATTATATGTTAAGTGGTTTTGTAGAGACGTTATGTGAGATGTTGCCGTCTGCTGTATTATGAATCAGTAATGCAGTGAATCGTTATGGTGGTATTTGGTCTGATTCGAGTAAAGGGGGCAGTTTTCCATAACCGGTCTAACGTTCCAGTAACAGGTCAGACCTTTCAGTAACCAAAAAGAATTTTCCATAACAAATCAGATATCCCAGTAGCCAGTGTGATGTTCCAGTAACCAATCAGACATTCCAGTAACCAATGCAATGTCTAAAAACCAATCAGATGTTTCAGTAATCAGATATTCCAGTAACCAGTCAGATATTCCAGTAACCAGTGCGATGTCCAATAATTGATCAGAAATCCCAGTTCCCAGTCAGACGTTCCAGTAACCGATCAGACGCCGCAGCTCCCAGTGAGTGAGTGTTTTACGGGGTTCTGTGGGATCGATCCCAGCTGCTCCAGATGGGTTTCTGAGGGGTTTGTGATGAATCAGACGAGTGTAAATAACGCTGGTTAGAATAAAGCAGAGCGTCTTTAATCTTCAGGGCCGCTCCAGCGTCTTTAATGAGCTGCAGCCGAGACTCGGAGCGGAGCTGGTTCTGCTCTGAGTCTGCCTCAGAGTTCCTCCAGACTGAGCACAGAGCTCTAGACTCCTCACACGCTGTCTAGAACATTCGTCTGGAGCGTCCTGAGCGCTAGACCCACTGTTAGTTTGTTAATCTCTCTCTCTCTGTCTCTCTCTCCCTCTCTCTCTCTCGCCCTCGTGCTGAGGCGGTTAAGTAAGTGTTAAATGTCTCTGGTGTGATTTCACGCCGCGGCGTCCCTGCTGTGCTCAGTGTGTGTGTGTGTGAGTGTGCTCAGTGTGTGTGTGTGTGTGTGAGTGTGTGTGTGAGTGTGGTCGTGTGTGTGGTCGTGTAGCTGTCATGTTCGTCGTTGTCCGGGTGACGGATGAATCGTAATTGATTCAGTTCCACATTTCATGCTGAGCTCTACACACCTGGAGGCTGTCAGAACCAATCAGCTCCCAAAAAATTAACCAGACAATCACAGATTAACCAGCCAGTCACAGCTAGAATTAACCAGCCAATCACAGCCAGAGTTAACCAGCCAATCACAGATTAACCAGCCAGTCACAGCTAGAATTAACCAGCCAATCACAGATTAACCAGCCAGTCACAGCTAGAATTAACCAGCCAATCACAGCCAGAGTTAACCAGCCAATCACAGCCAGAGTTAACCAGCC